ACTCATTTTCATTTAGCATATAAACTCTTGAGACTGTGTGTGTGATGTTGAACCAAAAACAATGTCATCAACATATATTTGAGAACACAAAAGATCACCATTAATGTGCTTAGTAAAGAAGGTTTTATCAGCATTACCTCTCTTGTAGTTGCAATCAAGAAGAAATGAGGTAAGTCATTCATACCAACCTCGTATGGCCTGTTTTAACCCATAAAGAGCTTTCTTCAATTTGTAGCCATGATCAAGCTTGCGAGGATCTTGAAAACCAGCAGTTGTTCCACATAGACCTCCTCCATTAACATCTCATTCAAAAAAGCACTCTTCACATCCATCTAATAAAGTTTAATCTTCAAACAAAAAGCAATAGCGAACAACAATCTGGTTGATTCAAGTCTAGCTATTGGAGCAAAAGTCTCATCAAAGTCCACTTCTTCTACTTGTGAGTTTGGTCTTGTTCCTTGTAATGTTTCCAAACTCATCAGACTTGTTCTTAAAGATCCATTTTCTCCTATTGACATTGATACCTTCAAATCTAGGAACCAAAGTCCAAACATCATTCCCCTCGAACTATTTAAGCTCTTCATGCATGGCAACAATACAACAATCATTCTCCAGAGCTTGTTTGGCATTCTTGGGCTTTATAAGAGAAACATAGCACAAGTGGTTAATTTCAGTCATTTCCTTGTTGAAGTCTTTCTCTGGGTGATCTCATCAAATAGATCAACAATTAATTCTAGTCCTTCATTTTGAGAAACTTATCCTTGTCCTTGTTGAGCTTTTCCTTGTTGAGCTCCGGTTGTGTTCACATCGAACGGAGATGTCAGCACACTTGTATGAGCTTCATGAGGATAAGATGTATTCATATCCTCTTGATTTGTGGTCACATCGTGAGAAGCTGTCATGTCACCAATTTCTTCTTCTTGATAAAATTCTGAGTAATTCTTTCCACAATTCATAAGGAGTTTGTAGAATACCTTTTTCTCAAAAACACCCTATTGGAAATATGGCATGAAGTGTTGATTACTTCAACTTACAATCTCTTAGGTAGTTTTTTGGCTTTTAACATCACTCTGACCATCTCTTGAAGGACTCGATTCTTTCTTTCCATTACACCATTGTGTTGAGGTGTTTTAAGGGTAGAGAACTCATGCCTAATGCCCTATATATCGCAAAAATTAGCAAAATGAGCATTCTCAAACTCCTTCCCATGGTCACTTCTAATTCTCACTACTTTCTTCACCACACAATTTTGTTCAACTAGCAACTTATTAACCAAGACTTGAAAAGCATCAAAAGCATCAGATATTTCTCTTAAAAATCAACCCAAGTAAACCTTGAAAAGTCATCAACATGCACATAAATATACCTCTTTCCACCACTACTTTTAGTTTGCATTAGACTCAAAAGATCTATGTGAAGTAATTCCAAAACATGAGAGGTGTTTAAGTGTGACAAAGGTTGTGAAAACTCTTGGTTTGCTTACCTTGTTGACAAGGGTCATAGACTTTACCTTTTGGGAATTCAAGTTTAGGTAGACCTTTCATAGCAACTTTTTTGGAAAGTCTCACGAGGTCTTTGTAGTTCATGTGCCAAAATCAACACAATCTGTCTTTATGCTAAAACAAGAAACTTGATAAGTCAACAAATATCAATTATCATTTGACCTCTTTCCTTCAAGTAAGGAAACACCTTCACTCTTTCAAGACTTGGCACTTAGATTTAGAAAATTGTACAACAAAGTTTTTATCACAAATCTAACTAATGCTAATCAAGTTTTCTTTTAATCCCTCAACATACAAGACATCATTTAACATAGGAAATCCAAGTATATCAATTGAACATTTATCAAGAATTTTACCTTTCTTCCCATCTCCATAGGTAACATAACCAATATCAAGACATTCAAGATTGGTCAAAATGGCTTTGTTACTTGTCATATGTCTAGAACACCCACTATTAAAGTACCATTGATCATTTTGAAATGCAAGTAAGGATGTATGAGCAACAAGACAACTTACATTAGACTTGGGTTTCCACACCCTTTGGGTCATAGGAACATCCTTTGGATGAGGTGACAAATGGACATATCATGATTCTCAAGACATTTTTTTCAAATAGGAAATGAGTCTAAAAAATTTTGGTATGATGTGACATTTCCTATTACAGAAATGACAAACAAGAATAAACCTTATTACCTTCACGGATTGATTCCCAGCAGCAGCAACAAAACAACAACAAGAGGTTCTGAAGCCTTGACAAATGTGCGCATATTAGACATGGATGTGCTCGCATTTGGAGTGAATCCCAAACCAAATCTATCTCCAAAAATCTTTCTTTGACCAAGCACTTCATCAAGCTTGTAAAAACCTACATTGAACTTTTCAACAATGGATTTAGCCTCAATTAGTTCTCTCAAAGCTTGATTTAACAAAAACTCTTTGTTGGTCAAATCAAAAGTAAAGGTTATCACTTTATTAGACAAAATTCTCTTTTCTTCCAACCAAGTTAATTTTTTTGCTTCAAGAGATTTCAACTTCTTGATTGCCTTTAACCACTGATCATACATCTTATCATAAGCTTTCTGTTACTCTTCCTAAACATCACTAGAATCATTTGAAGATACATTCTCATTATCCTCTTGATTAACTATAAAATCTAAGAAATTCTCACTTTCACCAGGTTCATCTTCGTCACTCTCATCCTTTTCCTAATCATTCTCACTCAGGGTAGCAACCATCGCTTTACCCTTTTTCTTCAGAGAGTTAGCACACTCACTTGGATGTGCCCATATCCCTCACACTAAAACACTTAATGTCTTTGTTCTTCTTTTCATTTTCTTTTGAAAACCTTGTCAAAAAAGCATCAAGACTAGAGTGGTCAAAAAAGTTTTTCACAAAAGGTTGTTTGCCTTTTCTAGCCCTATTTGGTTTTTTTATGTTCTTTTTCAAAAATTTGGCAAAGTTTTTCATGAGTAAAGAACATTTATCATCATTTAAGTCACTTACATCAACATTTTCAAGGGGATTAGAATTTACTTCATGCTTTAAAGCAAGACTTTTACCTAAATTCTTGTCCGATCTTTTCAGATTGAGCTTGAAGGTTTGCAAAGATTCAATCAACTCAACCAATTGCATGGCATCTAGATCTCAACATTCTTCAATGGAGATCACCTCTGACATAAATATCTTAGGCAGTAAGCATAAGACTTTCCTAACAAGTTCAGCATTAGTATATACTTTACCCAAAGCATAATACTCATTAGAAACATCACAGATTCTACCATGAAAGTCAGTGATTGTTTCATCTTCATGCATAGCCAAATTCTCATAGTCAAAAAACCAATCTCCTGAGCCTTGTTTTCTTAACAGTGTCTGTTCCATCATTTTTTTACTTGGATTTTATCCCATGCATCTTTAGCAATCTCACAGTCAATGGTTTTCATCTGATTTACATTAATAGCATTAAAGATGGCATGAATGGATTTTGAATTAAAATTAGCAAGATCTAATTTATCATCCTTGAAAGTTTAAGTTTAACCAAGTTCATTAAACTCTTGCGGAAAGTGTTGATTGTGTTCATTGACGCTTGTGGGTATGGTTATTCAATATGATCATCATATCAACCATGAGCATAAAATAAAGCACACAAGTATATTACATGGTTCGATTAATAGATTACATCCATGGGACCAAGTCTAGATGAAGTGAATCCATTATAGCAAATATTTAAAGTTCATTACAAATTTGAAGTTAAGCAAACAAATGTAAACAACTTCCTGTTTTCACAATACTCTAACTTCACACTCTGGTTGATCCAATGTCTTGCCACAGCTTGCTTGAATCCAAGAAACCTCTTGGATAGCTCGAGCTCCACTCAAGCTTCGATGCTAAAGACAATCTTCAACTCCACAGCTTGAACTCTCTTGAGCTTTCATCAACGGAACCATGTTCCAACAACCACTCAACAACAAAGATAAGTTAAGTATTTTGAGCATAAAAAAAATAAAAGGAACTTGACCAAAATGAATAAACTCTCTAAGGAATTTTAGAGAACAAACAGTAGAATATTTAGGCTCAATGAAAAGTGCAAGGATGAAGAAGATATTATATAATCCTTGCTCAACAAACCCTTAGATAGCCAGCCGACAAAGACTTACACATGTTTGGCTATTTTAGGAAAGTTTTCAACAACTTGTTAGAACCAATTTTAAAAAGCAAAACAAATTTTCAAGACCAAATCTGAAATATTTGACACCTGTATTTGGACCATTCACACATATTTCAATCCTGGATAAAATCCTACAGCCAATAAAAAGTCGACATTTGTACTAAGGTTTGACTAGACGACTGTTTACACATCTAACTCTAATGTACTCACAAATTTCACGATAGAATCAGATTAAGGAAATATGAACACATCAATGCAAAATGTCATAACATATGTAAACTACAGACACGGTTAAGCTTAACCAAATGAATGTGCAAACTTCAAAAATGCATGTGCACACATGACTTCACAAGTTAACAAAAATACTTACATATATGAGTACAATTGTTATATAATAATTTTTCAAAATACTATTATATCCCTGTCTAAAATAGAAGATAGGGGCTAAAGAGATAAAACCATGGGGGCTAAAAATCACTTTCCTTAAAATTTTCTTTGGCTAGACGATATAGATAAGAATGACCGCACAATTAATGGTGATGATACTAAATAAGAATTTGGACATTATTGTTTAATTACATTTTTAATGTTTCTCGAACAAAGCATGAAGCAAGTTAAATATGCAAACTATTAATTTGCTACAGCATTGTACTAGCTATCAATTAATTGCATTTCAATTGAAAACATAAAATGACGAAGATGATCAAATATGAAAGAAATAATCAACCAAACAGATACAAATGATCAATTCATATTTATTTATTTATTTGCACAACACTCTAGTAATACAAGTGAAATATAAGCAAAGCATCCATTATGAGTACAAGTAGAATCTACTTGTTGATGATGGAAAACACGGTTTGTATGACCGTAAGAATGAGGAGAACAACAGCTGCAATGACAGAGATGGAGGCCCATGGAGTGTTGAAGTAATTCTGTTTCAACGTTGCCTTCCAATTGTGCCATGGGGATTTGCAGTAGGCCTTTAGATCTTCAATAAGACCAGAGTAGTAAAAATTGTCAGAATCTATGTCGGCCTCTTTCTGAAGTTTTTGAAAAAGAGTTGAAACATGTTCACCATCAGGTAGCCCATTTTCAATAATTCCTTTATGCGCAAGTACTTCCACATCTTTTGGAGAGTTGACAAGATAATTCATAATTACAACATAATGAATTATATTTTTGCTTCTGCCATTCAATAACTCTAAGTCCTGCAAATTTGCTATCAAAACTTCTGTTTCGTCGACTATTGTACATTTTGGAATTTCCAGAATCCCATTTTTGAATCTTATGTCAAACAAATGATTGCTTGACCCCAACTTAAACTTAACTCCAGCCTGGTGAAGTTCCGTTATAGTTGGTACAGATAGAGTTTTGAGTTTACCATTTTGGTTGCCTAATTCTGATGGCTGAAGACAAAGTCTTATCAGATCAAGAAAATGTTCTGCTTCTGGAAAGTGTTCTTCAAACAACTTATCCTCTATCAAGAGAACTTCAGCCATTAATTCCCAGAGGTCAAAGGTAAGCTTGCTCATCGAAAGTCCCTCATAAAGCTGGTTACTATGCATTTCTCTTTTGGCTAGATCAAACAAATCTGCAAGAATGAACAGGGGAAGCTGATTTTCCAGGAGAAACATGTCATCCGCTAATGTCCTGGCCATCCATGGTTTTGTAAATATTCGATCAAAACCAATTTTCAATTTATCGCCGATGCTTTTCCTCAGTGAGAACTCAATGAGGAACACAGAATCCAATAAAATCATTTTTACAAACTCATCACTTCCAAACTTAATGGTTTCTGCATAACAGTTTCGCAATCTTGTTTCTCTATCCTCTATAAAAGTAAGAAACTCTTCCATGCTTACCTTGGTTCGTTGAAGAAAATCTTGTAGGTATCTTATTTTGAACTCTTCCATAGCTTTTAACTCTTCCCTACCATGGTGAAGCGGCCCAATGGAGACTACTTTTGGAGTGTAGAGTCCTTCATTTAACTGACGTCTTCTCTGAGGAGCCCTATAGATGCAACATTCATCCGATAAGGGATGCAATTTTTTGAACTCTTCTATCAAAGAAGTAGCTAACTTATTGATATCAATGGATTTGTGCTCTTCAATATTATCCATCTTCTCTCTGGCTGAAATACCAACATCATCAATTTGAAAACAATACTTAATAAATAAAGAGAAGTGAAGGAATTAAATTCTATTATTCAAATTCAATGAATATCAATTATCATCACACCATATTACATGTCCAAATTGGTTAACACTATGCACTTCTTATAGTTATTCTACAAGGATATCCTTGTATAAAAATTGATCTTATATGGAAATTATTAAATTATAGATAATGGAATTTAAAACATTACAATTACCAGAAGGGAGAGACAGAACATAGAAGAAAAAACATTCAATTACTTTAGGTATATAATTACATGTAACTTAATGTTAAAGTGGTGAAAAAGATCTATACTATAGAATTATTGCACATTTTGTCTATGTTAATTTATTTAAGAAAAATTATATTTCAAAGTTCATAATAAATTCCCATATCCTAACTCCTAGGTCATTAATTTTGTCTGAGTCTACTATTATACAAAATGTAATAATTTTAGATGGGAAGGTTGAAAAAAAAAAATATATATTCAACTCACTTATATTTATTAATTTTGCATTGAATCCTCTCAAATATGCCATCAAAGAGTTCTTAATTTCAATAACAGCTAGAGTAACAGAACAGGCCACACACACACACATATATATATTGTAAAAAAGAATCCTACAGTACAAGAAATTGAGGTAATATTCTTACATGGTAAGATCAACTCCTCTATATCCATCCAAACACAATCTACGAGCTTATAAGTTGAGGAGGTTAGTTTATAACAGCAATTTTATAAGTTGAGGAGCTTATAAGGTGACATAAAAGAAGATCAATCAGGTAATTTTATAGATGAGAAGGTGGAAGGAATCCCCTTTTAGCGAATGTCATACGCAAAGGGTAAGGAATAATGAATCTAGTTTTAATTAATTAATTATCAATTAATCACTTAAAAAACTTATCGTTAATTAATATTGGTTTTACAGTTCTAAAGTTTAGATTACATAAATCAAATAGTTATTGTTTGAAGTTCACGTAAGTAATCTTCACACAAGTAACTCACAAAATGTTATGCTGACTTCTGAACCACTTATTCCATAGAACAATAGTACAAAGACTTGTATATTTGAAGATAGAAATTATTTATTCTTTGTGTGAGTTTATTTCACCCATTGTCGGTGTAAAAAATCAATACTTGAAACAAAAATCAACCATTCACTTTGTAGCTCCAGCTGGCAAGTCAAGTATCAACCCTATGTACACAATAACAAAACCGTAAAATTTAGTGCTTGTTTTGTCCTTCGAATTGCAAGATTTACTTGACGAGTGAGACCCGGCTTCGTTAATTTCTGATTAAAGTTTAAATTAAGTTGGATTAAGAACGAAGTTAAGAATAGTTGTTTTTTAATATCAACTCTGCAAGTGTTGGCACAATAAATTAAGTAAAAATTTAATGAGTAAACGACATGTTTTCACCCAAGGTTTCACGAATCTATAGCTCCCACCGCTGATTTAATAAATTTTAGATTTCCACCTTTAAATTAATTGAAAAATTTAATCGTTAAAAAGTAAAGTAATGTTGTATTTTAAATCTGAAATGAAAATAAAAATTTCAAAGTAACACCCCAAATCTCAAATTTCTCTCACAAACACACATCTCAAATTTCTTTCACTTTTTCTCTCTCTTCTGAACCTTTCTTTCTCGTCAACTCCTTCCTTTCTTTCTTGTCTTCTTACTTTTCTTCTTCCTTTCTCTTTTCTTCTCCTCTCCTTCCTTTCTTTCTTCTCTCCCACGATTTGGCCAAAATCCTTGGAATTGGAACCGTTCGCCTTGGACAAGATGTGCCTCTCAGTTTCATCTTCAAGAATTTAGATGATGATAATGGAGTTCCTTGACGTTTCAACTCTTCAGGAAAAGAACTAGACTCCATCTATTATTTAAGAAATATTGTAAAAACTCTACAACATATCACTTAAAAGAATTACAAAACTCTTTTTCATGGACGTCAACAACATCACTTAAAAGAGTTCCTTGTTGTTTGATTGTAGTAATTAATGTAGATTGAATAAAGGTTTTTTTTATTGGATTGTTTGTTTGCTGTATTTGTTAGGACTCTTTGCTGACCGCCCACTGCCGCTGGCAACCCATAAGATCTCCCCCAACTACACTGCCCTGTTCGATAAAACTCCCCAACCAAACCACCCACAACCTGTTCGCGCGACAGTCGCGATCGATCGTGAAAGGACTGGTGGAGTTGGCTTTTGCGGCGGCTGGGAGAGGTGTTTGCAGCTAGAGGGCGGTTGCCGCTTTTAGGCCAACCAGCCTGATTCCGGTGCCGTTAAACCCCGCCGCCACCACTATCATCTACCCGTAATTTATTTGGGGTGGGTTATTTTTCTAATTCTACAAATTTAGGGTTAAAAAAATTTATTAATTTATTTGTTAAGGACAATTTGATAATAGTTTTTTTTTTTTTTTTATTCTATTAAAATTGAGGGTGTTGATTTAAGTATGTAAATCTAGAATTTATAAAGTCAAGGATGGAAACTTATAGATTCGCCGACCTTGGGTGGAAACATGTCGCTTATTCAATAATTTATGATATTGTCAATTAATATACACAGTTTATTCTTCGTTATGTATGTTAGAAATTTTAAAATTCAAGCTTGAACCCTTGCTTGTAAAAGTTAAATTTTAAAATTCAAGCTTGAACCCTTGCTTGTAAAAGTTATTTCTTGCGTACAAGTGTTCACAAAATTGTATCTTCTATATAGCAGGAAAAAAAAAAGACCAAATTTTCACTATCCTTTTTCAACTCTTGCATACTAGAATTAATTATTGCTTGTAAGAGATTAAACCAGACTTTTAAGTCGCGTTATAAATTTAATTTCATATATATATATTAGTAAGAATGTCTTTAAATTTAGTTTCATGTATATATTTATATAGAACAGTAATACTTTAATAAGGATTTCCTTATATTCTTCCAATCAGTAGTGTACCCACTTTGAAGAAAAGGGGGGCTCGGGCCCCTCCTAAAATTTGAAACTTTCCTAGGTATTTTAGTTCTATCACATTTGTGCCCCCTTAAGAAATTAGTTGCCGTCATTTTTTTATTTTTTTTCTAGCTCCTTAAATTTTGTCATCTCTATATGCATTTAATTATCATGTGAGTTGATATTTGACAAAAAAATTACTACTAATCTTTAAATTTTTTAGCTCTCATACTTTTAATTTGACATAAATTATGAATAATTATACGGGCAAAAAATAGTCTTAGGCCTGACGAGGCCTAAAAACAAAATAAACATGTCACAGCTTAAGGTCTTCACCCAATTCCGATTGACTCTACACTTAAATTCACCTTGTGAACTGCCAACTCTATGAGTTAGGTCCTACAAGTTAAGCTAAAACTGGGTTCCAGCCTATTAGCCTACAACAGTCCATAAATAGGAAATCAAAATCTCATTTTATTTCCTCTTCTACTAAGATCTCAAATCTTACTGAAACTAGTAAACCTAATATGATAAGGACAAGAAATCATCTTTCTTTCCTAATAGGGATTATCTTTCAAAGTAGGACTCAGTGTCCTACTAGGATTCCAACCTCTTAATTCTTATTAAATCACCTCTTTCAACCTTGCTAACTTGAGCGCCGGAGTGCCTACGTAATCGTAGATTTTTTGCCTCTACAATTATGAACTTTAACTGTCTAACATAATAACATAGTCATAATTGTGATTCAATTCTCTCTCTCTCTCTCTCTCTCTCTCTCTCTCTCTCTCTCTCTCTCTCTCTCTCTCTCTCTCTTCTCTCTTCTCATAATATATATATTATTATATATATATAATATATATATATATATATATAGATATATATATATATATATATATATATATATATAATATATAAAAGAATCAATCAAACTCAACCAAACTGTTCCTCTATCAAACACAACCAGAAACACTCAAGAAATAACACAAACAATCAAGAATTGAAAACAAGAACACAACCAATTTTTACCGTGGTTTGATTCCAAAGGAATAAACTACATCCACGTTGAGCTCCAAGTAAAATGGGGGCTCACTGCACTATAAGGATCAATCCAATTACAGATTACAACTCAATCAAGAACAGCCACTCAAATCTCACAATCACCCGTAATCTCCTCACAAAGACAACTAATACAAGCGTCTCAACCAGAAGAACCTAATACTTCTTCTACCAACAATTTAACTGATAAATTGCAACAGATTACAAAACTGAAGATTAACCACACTAAGAACAAACCCTAGCAGAGATGAAAAAACACGATAGAGAGAGTGTATTCCATTGTTGTTGTTTCTGTGTAACTTTAACTTTAAATAGGTTAACCTCAAAACTTCATTTGCACCGTTGGATTAGACTGGAGCCGAAGGCTGAGATCTGTCACTTAATAAAGCTTCAAAACGACAACATATCGATTACTCCTGAAACCACTCTTTATTGGGACTCGTATGAAATGAGCACCCAAAATCCAACACCCAATCATTTATTTTTTCTGTTTTAGAAACAGTTAGAACTTCAAATTCTTCTAAAATTGACTTAGAGGTTGCTAGGTTGCTTTTAGTGTTCCCTTGTTTCTTAAGCCAGGCATAACAGTTCTTTTTCAAATGGCCAGCCTTATTACAGAAGAAACACTTCTAGGTGTCTCCTTTGGCCTTACGGTTTTGTTTTCCCTTTTTCTTATTCCTAGGGCCACTATTAGACTGAACAGTGTTGCCTAACTAGTTTAGTTCACTCTTTCCCTTAACAAACAGATTACTACCAGTTCTCCTTTGCACCTTTATCTCTAACTCTCTAGCTTTTAATCCTGAAACTATTAGGTCCACGTTTGGGACAATACCAGTGTATTGTAGGGCATTTTTTACGACTTGGTAATCTTCAGTTAATGAGTTCAACAGAATCATAGCTAAACTAGAGTCCCCGAGTTCTTGATCTGTACCCTTCAACACTTGGGTTAGTTTCAAGAACTCATCAAGAT